TGCAAATTGTCAATTACTAGCACCAACCCCCAAAAAAGTGCTAGAAAGGTGGTAGCATTCGCATCATGTGTAGGGCATTCAAAGCTGCTGCATAGTCCATCCTGGTTTTTCCCACCTGCTGCATCTAAGTGGCCAGCAGGAAGGACCAGTGTGAGACTCATACCTGAAACAACCCTATTGTGATCAGCCTTTATTCCAGGTGAAGGAGCTAATGACCCACATGGCATCTATAGGCGTAGCAGAATAGCTAGCACTCTTCTTGCTTCACTCCGAACTCATTCAAGGTCAACTCTCCTGGTTATCTGCATCTTGGGGTATTGCATCTCAATCTTGACACCTCTTCTCGCCATAACAGTGACAGCTGAATCCCATTCTCCTGTAGTGCAAAGCCACCTGTGGTCTCCTACAAGATCCTTCCCCTTCTGTCTCCAACGTGAGCTGAATTTTGATAGAGGGGAGGGAGCTTGGTACTAGGGTTGAGAGTCAAGTCGTGAAGGTCCATTTCCAGCTGTGAGCCCATACAATCTTTAGGGAATTTTCATCTTCGGATATCTGAGGACTCGGGGCAAGGGTGGACTAAATACTATGATGGATGCCAGACCGTTCAAACAGTGCTACAAATCACTCTAGAAAAACACTGTAATCTTGAGAAATAAAAACCCCAAACTCCCAACAGTGGTGGAGTTGAAGGCAGACTGCTCGTATGTCCAAGTGCTGAGGCCTATACGCACAAAGACTGCGGTCAACAAGTCATGCTAAGGCCATCTCTTCTGATTCCCTTGGTGCGGATGAAAGGCGGGCTGGAGAAGCTCACTGGATTCGTTCTGAAAACACATCAGAGCACACACAGCTCCTGGAGAAGCTCACTGGATTAGGAGTTCTGAAAACATCAGAGCACACACAGCTCCTGGAGAAACTCACTGGATTAGGAATTCTGAAAACATCAGAGCACACACAGCTCCTGGAGAAGCTCACTGGATTAGGAGTTCTGAAAACATCAGAGCACACACAGCTCCCGGCTTTTCATCTTCTGGAGATCCATGTATTCTACAGCTTTCATGTGCTCAAAAAGTTTCATGGATTTTTTTTCGGGAACAAGTTTGATTAAACTGTCCTGTTCCCAGCCCAGGGTATTCCTTCTTGAGACAGGCTCTCACGTAGCCTAGCCTGGCCTAGAACTTGCTACAGCTGAAGATGACCTTGAACTCATCTTTTACCTACCAATTGCTGGGCACTTCAGGCGTGCAACCATACCCTCCTCTCCTCTTACCACTTGCCAGTGACTGACAGAACTCCATTAAGAAGTGTTAAAGTGATGATAGACAGAGTTTAGCAGGGTTAGTACTGAAGTCTCTACCTGTTAATACTGCCTGAAAATCTGACTGGAAAAAAATTGCTAACTTGCCGGGCGGTGGTGGCGCACGCCTTTAATCCCAGCACTCGGGAGGCAGAGGCAAGCGGATCTCTGTGAGTTCGAGGCCAGCCTGGTCTACAAGAGCTAGTTCCAGGACAGGAACCAAAAAGCTACGGAGAAACCCTGTCTCAAAAATCCAAAAAAAGAAAAGAAAAAAAAATTGCTAACTTGAAGGGGAAATTCCAATTTCAGTTCTAAACCCTAGGTTATCTGAAAACATTAGACTCTGGTTTTTAAAATAAATTTATATGCTACATGTTACAAAGTACCTAGACTATGTGTGAAATAAATTCAAACTTATCTTCAGATATCAGAAGAATCTTAATTAAATTTAATAAAACTTAGTGTTGGTTTAAATGGGACTAATACAGTGTTTATGAAGTTCAGATACAGACACATAGCCCTAGCTCTGACTTATGGCAAAAGCTGCTGTAATTCACAAAAACTATTCTTTTAGTCCACGTCCCAAATCAAATTCCAGGCAACATTCATGGTGACTCATGTTAAAATGAATCTTTAAAAAGGCCTTGTTAAAGAGTAAGGCTGAAATCTTACTTAAATCCATTTAAGGGCTGGAGAGATAGCTCAGTGGTTAAGAGCATTGCCTGCTCTTCCAAAGGTCCTGAGTTCAATTCCCGGCAACCACATGGTGGCTCACAACCATCTGTAATGAGGTCTGGTGCCCTCTTCTGGCTTGCAGAATATTGTATACATGACAAATAAATATTAAAAAAAAAAACAACAAATGTTTAACTTCAACCTTGACCCTGGAATCTTTTAAAAAAAAAAAAATAAATCCATTTAAAAGCCACATCTTGGGTTTATCCTTATTCTTCTCCCCAAGGGATCCATTAAGTTTTGCAGTTGAGATGAAAATCAAGTTTTTTATTTTTATTTCCACCCCTCAGCTTCTTTGAGTTTCAAAACAAGAAAAATGAGGTTGAGGTTCTGGAGAAGCTGCGATAGTCACCGCAGCCTCCACAACTGATCTTTGCCTTTGTCAGGGCTCCTCTTCTCTCTTCTAAAAGCCTTCGGGGTGTGAACTCCTGTGAAAAGTCCCAAGGGTCCTGGAGAGCTTGGTGAGATACACTGAGCATCCCTTTGAAGTGCAGATACAGATACTTTGGTATATAGCAATAAGGCTATGAGCCCAATCATCTGGTTGAAGACTTCAAGAGGTAAGGAAAATTCAAGAGCAAGTATTGACTATGACTTTTTACCTCCCACACTCCTAAAGAAATAGCACTTGGGCCTAAGGAAAAAGGCTGAAGCGCATTTTCATGCTGTGACTTAAGGGCAATTCTACAAAATTAAGATTACTTATTAAAGTAATCCTATCGTCGGGCGGTGGTGGCGCAAGCCTTTAATCCCAGCACTTGGGAGGCAGAGGCAGGCGGATCTCTGTGAGTTCAAGACCAGCCTGGTCTACAAGAACTAGTTCCAGGACAGGAACCAAAAGCTACGGAGAAACCCTGTCTCGAAAAATCCCCCCCAAAAAATAAATAAAAATAAAAAAAATAAAGTGATCCTTTCCATCCACTATGAAGGAAAAAAAAATCAAATGAAGAGACTCAAGTTTCTTCTCAGCAAGAATATGAAACTTGACATTTAAAAATTCCCTAATGCTGCATTTGCCTCAGCTGTTTACTTAGCCTCTCCATTCCGACAACCCCAGAAAGACACATCTCACTAACGTGGCTCCTTAGGTCTACGTTAGCTGCTTTCATCTTGGGGCACTTCTTCAGGTCACTACTGTGCTGTCCAGCGCTCAAAGCTTCTATCCTACAACTCACTTATACTTATTTTGGGGAACCCAGCCTTAACTGGACAGTAAGAACTACACCCAGTGCTGCATGGCTGCAGTTTCAGGAAAAACTGTTGAGGTGAATGTTTTCTTATCCTTGCGTAACCAGCACTTTGGCAACACCGAGCAAAAAATAAGCACGAGGTAAACACTTCAGTAACAGGATTTGATCTAAAAGGCGAGGAATGTTCAATGTGACTGAAACTCGGTGGAGATGAAGCAGTGTGAGAAGCAATAAACACAGGTTTCCAAGACGGTGGGAAGTAAATAAAGCCCCATATCACAGGAATATGCATCTTGCTTATGATGTAACTGAGCTCGATATGTACTATTACATAAATGGGAGTTATTTTAATAGACACCATACTTAAATATCTCACCTTCATTACTTTCATGAGTAAAAATTATGACACAGTAGCTCCCGAGCTAGTGAGTTTCCCTTGTGTTTGCACGCTATGCATATACTCAAGTGCACCTGCCTGTATGTAGTGGACAGACGCTCATGTTGGAATGTTCATCTGGGTTCTTTCTCCACGTTTTTACGTTTTTCAAGACAGGGTTTCTCTGTAGCTTTGAAGCCTGTCCTGAAGCTCAGGGAGATCCGCCTGCCTCTGCCTCCTGAGTGCTGGGATTATAGGGGTGTGCCACCACCGCCTGACAGGGTTTTCTCACTGTACCTAGAACATGGCCAGGAAACCTCCAGATTAGCCTTGCCTTCTCTAGGGCTGGTATTACAGGCCAATGCCACAAACATGCAACTTCCATGTGGGTGCTGGGGTCGTGCAGTCCTCATACTTGGGCAGCAAGTGCTTTCACTGACTGAGAAATTTGTTTTAGTAACAGCACTTCCAGCTGAGACCTGTAAGGCCACCCTCTTGGACAGCTGAACTAACTTCCACGTTTTTACATTAACTTGGATGATGGAATCTTCAAGATACTTTTTTTTCGTTTCTTGAGACAGGGTTTCTCTGTAGCTTTTGGAGCCTGTCCTGGAACTAGTTCTTGTAGACCAGGCTGGCCTCTCAGAGATCCTCCTGCCTCTGCCTCCCATGTGCTGGGATTAAAGGCGTGTGCCACCACCCGGCTCAAGATATTTTTTAGAAGGCCATGTAGTCAGGCTTGGTGGCACTCAGGAGCAAGAGCACTAAGCTTCATCCAAGTCCGCCACTACTCTATTTTCTATAACAGGAGATATCTTCATCTCAAGCCATTCTCACAGTTAGTGGACGTTCACCCTAATCAAGCACAGATGTTCCCAACAACACAGATTTAGCTTCTGACTTGCACAGATCAGTCAAGAAAGCCATGAATTAGCTCACCTCCGAGAATGACTGGGCAATAGAAAAGCGTTCTGTATCTTTAAGGTTAGTTCTTCAACAATCTGGTCTGGTCTGTAGTGGCTGCAATGTCTAACAAAGCATCAATCACTTTGGAGAAAACCTGTATCCCTTAAAAATTTCCTTACCTTCCATAGTGTTAGAAGAAACCACAGGCACACTACAAGAGATTACTGCTTCCCTCACTCTCTCAGTGACATTCGGTGGTCAGGAGAGAGGACAGATGAGGGCGAAAACACGACAGATAAATGGTGAAGTTTTAATATTTTTACTAAAGTTCTGAAATTCACTACCCTGACTTATGGCCAAGTTCCGCAGTGACTCTCTCCCAATCTGTGGCGACCTTCCCTCCCATAACTGTTTAAGGCAACTCTCTTAGGGTCCTTCCCCACGTCATATTCAAATGTCAGATCTCAAGACTCATCAAAAAACTACAAGATTTTAAATTTCACTTTTAATTATCTTTTACTTAATAATAAAATGAAAAATAATATATGAATACATACAATCTATATACACATATTTATTGCAAATACTTAAAATTCTTATTAAAATGATTTTTCCTTATTTGTGAAAAAATATGACTTATTAAATGGCGTTGACACCAACTTCTCTGTACATACCCTCAATTCCAATGTTAACAATTCCTTTAAAAAGGCAAAAGACACAAAAATTGAGCATTTACCAAACCAGTCTGTACAAACCTTATCACCAGCGAGGGAAAAATAGCTTGTGGTAAATAAGTCAATTTTCTTTTAAAATAAAAAATAAAGCCCCCAAATCATTCCCCTTATTGCATTTTTCCTTTTCTTTCCTTTTTTTTTTGGGGGGGGGAAATAATCTGAGTAGTTTTAGAGTAACTCTTTTGAAATAATTTGTGCCTTAGCAATGAGATCCTACATTAAACATACCATATATGAGAAATTCAGTCTTCCACTGTCACTTTTTACATAGATATTAAAATATATATTACTTAAAATATATTACTGGAAAGTTATCTTAAAATTGATCTTTAATAGTTGTATCAAATGTAAAGCATTAAAAAAAATAAAGTAACCAAGACTCTATGAAGCTCTTGCTTCAACTTTAGGAAATGTCTACCTACTGTCTTGTTCAATAGGTTTGTAGGTATTGAAACACATAGGAAAAGGTCCCTGCCTGTCATCATGTTTCGCAAAGTCTCTTTGGACTGTTCTATATGTTGAGCTGCAAACTATCCATGGCCAAGTTCTCCACTTAGTACACATTGCTGTAATGCAACGGGAAGCTTCCTTCTTGCTCTGTGACACCAGAGAAAACAACGGGCAGTGCTCGTCAGCAATGAGCTCTAAACAAATGTGACCACGGTGAATGCCTCACTCTAACAAACCCTTTAACCAAAGAGCTCATGAAGGTTTTCTACCGTGGAGGAGAGCAGTATGGAGCAAACAGAACGGTAACTGATAGGCCTGCTCCATGTGGGACAGCGAGCCTTCACCTGGAAGGCAGTGAGGTCTTCCTTTGGCTGTTAATCCACATTTGAGATACTCTCCCAAATACCCACATCTCTATACCCAGGGAAATGCAGCCTTCCCACTCCAAAAAAAGCTGCATTTGCCAGCTCTCGCTCTTAAGAAATGCCACAGAGAACACTGGAGGCAGCTTCAGTGTCTTGAGCACAGGGGTTGAGTAACTGAAGCAGGACAAACAACTCCGTGTTATTTGTGCTCCCCTTAAATTAATGGGATAAAGAATTCTGATTATTTAAAAAAAAATCCTTTATGATTCAGGGAGTGTTCATCTTAGGTAACTCAGAACACTTATAAATTACCCTGAGAAGATGCATCGTGAATACTCTCCCAGAGGTGACTTGCAGAAGTGATTTAAGGCTGGAGAGGGCATACTGGTATGTGTATCAAGTGTGATATTTAAAACCTCACTGGAAATTGCCCAAATAAGAAACTAAACACTGAACCATTTCATGTTAACTGAAAGGTTAAAAAAAAAACAGCAAAAAGTTACAATTAATAATGTGTTAACATGTACTGGAGTACCAAATTCAACTTAAAGGGCCAGACTCAACTATTTGTTTTCCTGTTCATTTATGAGTGTTCCTCTTCCATCCGAAACCATGTTTTAAAACAAACCATTTAAATAGATTAATATTTAATATATTTTCAATATAAGAAAAAATTCATTCTTGTCAAGTCTGAGGCAGTGTACCTAGCTGGCAAGTTCTGTTTTTGGAATAGTAGGAGGGAAATTAGCAGGGTGTCACTTAGTGGAGTCAGGTGAAGAGCAAGACTTGGGCCTTACACAGCTGGAGTTTGGGTTGAGGTGAGAGGAACAATGTGGTCTTTAAATGGACCTGACAGTCTCTAATGCCTCGCTCCTGCCCACCCAGTCCCAGATTAAGGAAACCAGGGAACAAAATCTTCCTAGTAAGCAAGGTAGAAAGTAGAAAAAATTTTACCAATACAAACTCGCCCCTGACTGTCAGCATGAGGTCCATTCTGAATCACTCACCCTCTTCCAGAATAAGACAAGACTACTCAGGTAAGGGTCTTTAAAGGTCCCATGGGGAACACCGATGGTCCTGACGGTCTGGGACCAGAACCCTGACTTCTGTTTCCTACTCGTCCTTCACAACATATGCACTTCTTAACCCTGAATCCCTGCAGCCTCTCTTTCCCACTAGCTGTGCATTTACTGGAATGAAGGGAAGATGGAAAGACATCATACTGTCTTGCCTGGTTCTGGAACACAGGATGTGAGCCTGTAACTGTTTAGGGCCACGAGAGCAGAAAAAGTAAGTTTCACAGAGTTTAGAGCAAAGACTGAGGAAGCACATGTGTGTGATGGCCAGGGGTGAGCACCACATGGCAGGCAAGACTCATTCCTGTCTCCTTCCTGTGATGTATTAACAGTTAAATTGTCCTGAGTTTTATAGCTTTTGAAACTATACGGGGTTGCAATATTACAGTATCACACACTTCACATTAAGAGACTTGGAATCAATCAATACAGACTATTTGATATTAGAATATCGGATAAACTGATGTTTGTCTTAAACAGTGATTTAAGTAGTATTTGCTTAAAGTTTGTCACTAGTTCTTTTATTTTTTTTAGAGAGTGTTTGTGTGCCATGAACTTGCTTTCGAGCACACTGGCTGTTAACTGAGACCCATCTGACTCTGACTCCCAAGCACTGAGATTTGAAGTGTGTATCTCCACGTCCACCGACTAGAAGAGTTTTATTTTTGTTTTGTTCTTTTTAAAAACAGATTTGCTTTATTTATTCATTTATATTTTGGAGACAGGGTTTCTTTATATCCTGTCCTGAAACTCATTATGAAGACCAGATTGGCACTGAACTCAGAGATCAGTATGCCCCTGAATCCAGGGTGCTGGGAAAAGGATTTTAAAAATAATAATCAAAAAGAAAAAAAAAAACCTGAAATTTCACAGCCAGGCATTTGATCAGTCACTCATAACGCCCTTTCACTTCAGGCATCCTTGCTGTCCAGACAGCAGAAATTCTAGACTAGCAGAAACAGCAAACTGTCTTCTTGCTCTGTATGAGTGCAAACATGTGGTGTGGTAGGATGGCAAAGATCACTGCATCGTCATCTCATGCCTGGGATGCCAAAGCAGAAAAGAGGTTACCACCAAAGGGCGTTTCTACCTGGAATTGTTTGAGATAGAATAGGAAAGGAAAATATTTTGTGTCCAGTGTTAAAATCACTCTTCCAAAGTCCTGAGTTTCGGTTACGTTTCTTCAGTTTCATCCTTTGCCAACAAGACACACAGTTCTCACACACACACACCCCAATCACTAATGCTTGTGTGCGTTTTATTTCAGACCTGTTTGTGGGAGCCCATGAATGATGCAGTATCAGGATGTATTATTGCTGGAACTAATGCCATGCACAGATTAGGCTAATAGAGGAGTCCCTTGGAGGCGGACCCTTCTTAAATAACATTCACGGACAACAGTACTGATTCATGGAAGGCAAAAGCTAAGTCTGGACTGTCAGGATCAAAAACACTGGGATGTGAATACCTTTTAAAAACCCCACTTGAAATGGTTCCACCTAAAGTAAAGGGATGAGTAAACCCCAAATCTAAATCCCACAAAGGCATGTTATCTGTGGAGAACCTGCAGCCAGCTGTGAAGACATAATCAGCATGATGGTCACTTCCTGACCATTCTCCCTTTCCCCACCCTAGGAAAGGTCAGAGGCAGAGAGTTTCCTTTCACCATGCATACCACTCAACTATTTTCAGAGTCAAAAGAAATAGAACATAAATCTGAATGTGAAGTTAACACATCATTACCTAAACTCTTGGAAAACAATGTTAAAACAAAATGTGACATATTTACATGATTTTTTAAGTGCAAACTTGTCACCGATTCATAGTCCTCCTCGACTCACACTTACTATACAAGGTGCGCTTCCTGTCAACCTGAAGACCTGTATTCTGCATTCCTGATTAATGTCTCTTGAGACAACTCAAACTTTATTTCTGTGATTTCAAAAGGGTGCAAGAATACGTCTTGTTAAGCCTCCCCTTCCCTCCTTTACATTTGCTGTAGTCTTATTATCGGACGACGAGGCAGGAGACACACAGTTTGGAGGGCCCAATACAATCATCATGACAGAAAGCTCCACATCCCTTGCACATGATCATGGCTTTCAACCGGCAGTAACATTTCGAAGGCGCGTCCTCAATGCTGTTCTCATCAGGAAAGGCCTGAACAGGAAGTGTCTGGCCGTGGCTGCTGGGATTCATAGCTTGGCTAGCAGGGATGGTCGTGACAGTCACTGAAAATGACATAACATCCCCAACATTGCTAGATACCTGACTACCTGGTGGAGCAGAGCTATGGTCCATGTCTGATGAGGCTGAGACATTGATCATGCCTCTATAGCTTGGCCCTATCTGTGTGGGGCTTCCATACAATTTGGGGGTTTGCAGTGGTGGAAGGAGTAGAGGCTGGTGTGTGGGACTGTCTGCAGGGAGAGAAAGAGCAGTAGAATTGAAAATTTCGGGGCTGCTACATACTGTCTTACCTCTCACACCGTGAGCCATTTGTTTATGTGCTGCCTGAATAAAATCTCTGGGTAGGGTCTTTTCATCCAATGTTTGGCCTCTAGAGAATATGCAATTCTCCTTGCCTGCAGTGGTTTGCTCACTCATCGGTGCCTCAGCCTTACCATTCTTGCTAGCTAAACAATCAATGGTGGATGGAGTTTCCCCACTGTGGAGATGCTTGCCAGAACTCTGAGAAGCCCAGGGCTCCTCCTTCACTGACACAGGCTCTTTCTCATCTCCCACACTCTCTTCATCAGTTTCATCGTCTTTGCTGCTGCTGCTGCTGTCTCCAGTTGTGTTTTTACAATCTGCATAGCCCATTCTCAAGTTTTCAGTGGGGCTACTTAGACAAAATGGTTCCTCAGGATTTACAGAATGGGTCCTCCTAACACTCTCTGACACCCGGCCATAGGTGGAAATATTAAGTAAATAGTGACCTGCCATTGCAGGCTTGGATGTCCTCCTGCCAGCAAAGCCAAGCATAAATTTCTGCCTTGTGGATATGTCTTCCAATTGGAAACCTGAGTGAGCAAAGTTGAACTGAGAGGGCGGCACAAATGAGAGAACGCTCTGTCTCTGAGTCCTCTGGATGAGAGTCTGAAAAAGCTGATCTTGAGTTGTTTTACTTAGTCCTTCTGGGTACGGGTGAGTGTCACTGCAAGAGTCCTTAGCTTCGAAGACTGGCCTTGGGACCTGGGGAAGCTGCTTACTCTGCAAGGGTTTCCCTAGCTGCTGGAGAGCCAGATAGGCCTGCCTGCCATTAACTTCCTCTCTGGTGCTGCCTTCCATCACACTGGAACCAGGGAATGCTCCTACCCCCTTCTCCTCTTTCGTAGTCAGTGGGACTGTTTTCATTTCAATTTTGGTGAGAGGTTTAGGCAGAATTTGCTCCATGGGAACATCTTTGCCCTGGAGCAGCTGAGTAACTAAAGGGTTATTAGCAGGGATACTAGAACTTGGTCTTGAAATGGGTCCGTTCATATTTGCAGAAGTTCCTGGGGATTTAAGGCTAGAAGCTGCTGGCAAGGTGCTTGAGGATGAAGCTGATCCAGTAGATGCTGCAGTTCCACTGACTGGGGGTACAGAGAGTTTTTCTAAACTGGCTGTTGTCAATAAGGATGTTGTATCCAGTCGAGCAGAAGCAGCTACCTTTGCTGAGGCTGAAGGCTTTGGTGCATTCTTATTAGAACCTGCTTTGTGTTCAACTGTGCCATCAGCTACAAAACAAACAGGTGAAGCCGTTGAGATGAGAGCAGGCCCTTCTGGAGAAGGAGCTTTTTCCTGTCTGTAACTACTCAGGTCTTGTGAGTGGCAAGGAGAGGCTGCTGTGGCTGTTGCCTGGTGGGGGTTCAGTTTCCCACTGTTTAGTTTCTCTATGTGGGCTGGTAATGGGAGGCTTGTGCATGCTCCACTGATGGTGTGTGCTGTAGGCACTGAGGAGGTTTGCTGTAATTGTGCTCCAGAGACACCAGGAGGCTGGGACTGGCCTGGTGCATGGGTCTCAGGCTGGGGACCACAGGGTAAAAGCTCTCGCATACCTCCCCTGCTTCCAGTTCCTGCCAGCTCCAGTGTGGGACCCTTTCCAGTTGCGCTGACTCTGTCTGAGCCTGGACTCCCTCCTGCACCAGTTTTCCTTTCGCCACCCTCTCTTGGACTGTGTCCACCCCCAGGGCCAGGTCCTGGAATGGTCCCTCCAACTGAGGCGGCTGCAGCAGCTGCAGCGGCTGCTGCGGCTGCTGCCCTCTGTGCTTTGACCAACTGGGCTTTTGCTTTGATGTCTGCAAGAGTTCTGGCTCCTGTTCTGTAAGGACTAGTGATGGAGATTGGAAAACGAGCCCTGGGAGAGACCTGCGATGTAGAAAACAGCATCGGGGAGATTCTGGAGACCGGGATCTGAAAAAATGAGGTGGGGGAGCCGAGATCAATTTCAGCTCTGACTAGAGCAGATGAACACAATGCACTTGCTCTAAGACTAAGAATACATACTGTGTTAAGCATTCGATCCCACTGTCCACCCACATAATGGGTCACATACATAATAGCTCCCAAGCATTTTTGCCCCTACTGAATACTGTACTTATTTGTGTCAACTTTTTAACACCCCCCATTTATGAATCAGAACAGCCAGAAAAATGAGTATTATAATAAACTACTAACTTTGAAAATTCTTCAATCACAAATAATTGTGAAGTCACTATTTTTCATTACTCAAAGTCCTAAGTATTTAAAAACAATTCTCTATACATCAGAAATCAGGGTGGTATTTTATAATAGTTGTGATAAATTCATGTACTTAAGAAGTACATTTGTGGGGCTGCAGAGATAGTTAAGAGCACTTGTTCTTACAAAAGACCTGAGTTCAATTTCCAGAACACATATAATGGCTCATAACCACCTGGAACTCCAATTCTATGGGATCTACCAAGCACACACATGGTGCACATACCTGCATTCAAGAAAAGCATTCAAACGAAGTAGATAAATAAATCTTAAAAACAAAACAAAACAAAAAAAACCAACCAAACAAAAAACCCACTAAGGTTGATTAGCGAGGTGGTAGTGGCGCACAGCTTTAACCTCAAGAGTTGAGAGGCAGAAGCAGTAGGATCTTTGAGTGAGACCAGCATGGTCTACAGAGTAAGTAACAGGATGGCCAGCAAGTTCCAGACAAGGACTTTTGAAACCCTGACTCAAAAACAACAAAGTTTGTTTAATACTTAGTTGTATAAACTTAGGCAACATTTTTTGCACATAGTAGTTTAGAAGTTCCATGGAGTAGAAAGAAGCAATTACTGCCTCTTGTTATATAAAGAACAGACTACAGGAGAAAACAGAAATACTAGAAAACAAAACCCAAGAAATTTGTTTTGGGGACAGACAACCTTGTATAGGTAATCCAAACATAAGAAATTGGAGCAACCTCTAGTACTAGGCAGAAAGTTTAAGCGGGGTGACCAGAACAGGAGAATTCTGGGATGAGGAAAGGCTCAGTCTGCAGTCATCACCCAGGGGCAGAGGAAGCAAGATGAGAGTGCCTCTCTGATAAAAGGTCATGTTGCTAACACAGACAAGAATTATGGGTTAATTTAAGATAGTTAATAAGAAGCCTAAGCTAATAAGTCAACCAGTTTATAATTAATGTAGGCTTCTGTGTTTCTTTGGAACCAAATGGCTGAGGGACCAGGTGGGACGAAAACCTCTGTCAACAGGCAAAAGGTAGTCAGGATTATTTAAGTAAAGAAAAGCAGGCAAGAAACAAGCCAAGGTAAGGCTGGGCATTCAGAAGCAATATAATAAGCCTCCCGAGTGTGTCATTTACTTGGGAGCTGGGTGACAGGCCTCTCAAAAAAAAAAAAAAAAAAAAAAGAAAGCAAAAAGAGAAAAATATAATACAACAGGAGATGGTGGCACTAATCCTGGCACTAGGGAAGCAGAGGCAGCCAGATCTCTATGAGTTCAAGGCTAGTCTGGTCTACAGAACTAGTTCCAGCACAGCTAGGGATACATAAAGAAACCCTGCAAAAACAAAACAAAAACAAACAAAAAGAAAGATTAAGAATTCAATGCCAGCCTGACTTAGGAATCGACACTTTGCTGGGCTGGCTTACATACTCAGACTCTTTTCAAATATCAAGAACTGGAGGGATACAGTTCTACAGCCTGATTATTACTATTTCTATAATACCACTGTTACGTGTATTAAACATATGCTACTGTGCTTATGTTAATACCATAAGTCATGAAACTTAATGAGTACGACCACTTTCTTACCTTGAGAGGTGGTACTTTTCGCACCTGTACCCTGTCCCCTCTATTAAGAAAGGGCTGTGGCGAGACCTGAAATGGCTGCTGGTGATGGTGGTTTTCAGTGATACGTGGTCTTTTCTCCCAGCTGCTAGCAGCCTCTTCTTGGGTAAGAGAAGATTTCCTTTTCAGACTTTCTGAGATCTGATCAGCAAGAGACTTTGGAGATATCTTTACATCTGTGTCCAGTGGACCAGCTTCTGCCACAGGCTTTGTTATAGGCTTTTCTAACCCAGAAGTTTTAGATTTGCTTGGGGATGTAGCTTCTTGGTTCTCGCTTTTGTTATAATTAGAAGTTGTGGTGGCTTGATTTTCTTTCTCAGACTCTTGTTCAGCACAGACAACATGCTTCTGCTCTAAGAGTCCCTCATGTTTAGGGCACTTGACGGACATCATGGTGATAAGCTCATTTGTATTGCTGACTGACGCAAGGATGGGTTCTGGGGATGCAGAATTTGGCTGTGCCTCCTCTTGGTTTTCTACTTCTTTTCTGAATGGTGATGGTATTTGCACTGCTTCTTCTTTACACTCTGAAGGGGGAACTACTGGGAAGTTTCCGGCAGGAGAGGCCTCTGAAGGAAATATGGATTTTGGTTGCTCAGCAGGGATTTTCTTTACTTTGGAATCACTAGGGGAAGCTGTCAGTTTCTGTGAATCTTCAAGGCTTAAGCCAGAACTGAAAAATTGAAGGAAATATTGTTATATGGGAAATAATCCACATTACTTAATAAACAAGAAAAGTAGACCATGTCAGTTTAGGAACCCCTTGAAACATAGAATTTTCTGTAGAACTCTTAAGTCAAAGTAATTAAATTCAAATCCTGGTTCTGGTAATAGTTGTGAACAAGATACTAAATGACTAGGCTTCTGCACCTTTGTTTAATTGTATACCAGAATTAAAAACTTCCAAACTGCAATGATGAAGTTACTCGTGTGATGTTCTCACTTGGCACACAAGGAAAGTTCTATAGTGGGAACTGCTGTTGTCACTTCTGCTTATATAGGAGCCATATCATCTACAGACTCACGGGCTACCTACAAGAACCTAAAGAAAGACTGAGAACTGAGCTTATAGGAAGCCTGTTTAAACCGCACTCAATCTAGATCCAAAGATCTGAGGTTGCATGCTGCTGAGCTATCCACAGGTAAAAGTCAGCTGTGATTTACACAGGGTGGTCTGCCAAAAAGTGCCACCAATAACTGTTCTTAATGTTCTTTCCTTTTTTTTAAGCAACGACCAATTAAACCCTGTTGCCTTAATAGAATCAGTAATAAAAAAAAAATTACTATCTAGGGTCAGCAAGATGCCTCAGAAGAAGAAAGTGCTTCCCTGATCACCTAGGTTCTAACAAGGGAGCTCATGCCTATGAAGAGAGTCAACTCCCAAACTCTTCTGCCCTCCAAGAGCACATTGCAGCACGTGTACTCGCAGACTCACTGTAACTTATAATATACACTCACCACCAGCTTTTAGCTTAATCCTGAAGTCAGCATTTGAGACAGGGTTTTTTCTCTATGCAGCCCTGGCTGCCCTTAAGTTTGTAGACCAGGCTGGCCTCGAACTCAAGAGATCTGCCTGCCTCTGCCCCCCGAATGCTGGGATTAAAGGCATGTGCCAACACTGACTGGCCAGCTCAGTAGGGAGTCTATCTTAAATGATTAGGAAGGAGGGGGATCAATGAACACTACTTGGAGCTAAGAAAAAGTACTTATTTCTCAGTCTGTGATCAGTGAAGTTCTCTCGCTGGCTTTTACTGGTATGTAGAAGGAAGCAAGGGAGACTAACAAACAGGAGTTGGACTATGCAATCCTATTCAAACCAAATGGCTCTATTGTCTACTAAATGTCTCCAGTACAATTTCATTATGATTAGACAGCATTTCTCTGTGTAGCCTTAACTGTCCTGGAACTCACTCTGTAGGCCAGAGTGATCTTGAATTCACAGAGATCCTCCTGCCTCTGCCTCCCAAGTGCTAAGACTAAAGGTGGGCACCACCACCAAGCTAGACTTTCTAATAAGGTAAAAAAGCGGAGACATCACATTACACGCGTAGGAATTAATATGTGGATTACAGAGACTGCCTTATCTTACCTCTGACCATAGTAGCTTTCAAAGAATTGTTCCTTCCATGGCTCCACCTTCTTTTCCTTCTCAATCTCTTGACGAATTCTCACCTGCATTTCAGGAGTAAATTCACCTGCAATGTATCAACAAAATGACATAAACAGAAGAGTATTATTAATGAATTTTAATCATGACAGACTCTTATAAGAACAAAATACTACCATGTCAAAGCAACAAGCTTCCCAAAGAACTTAGACAGGAGACACCACTACTAGGTGGCATCTGGTACAGTCACATACTATCCTTAAGTTTTCTATATGCAGCTAAAGCCCACTGCTCTTGCTCTCCAGGTGTTCCCCCAAAGTGACTTTTTCCAGTTACAAACATCATATTTCACACAGATTTCCTTTCACCTCTAATTTCAAGTTTGTAGTTTATTTCCCAATAGAATGAAAGTAATGAACGTGTGCTAAATTCATGTGAGGAGATTCTGGGTGCTTGTGCAAAACTATTCTTGTTATTTGTTTACACACCTCTATGGGAAAACATGGTTTTATATATTTGGCTGGCCTGCTATGTGCAGCCTGCCATTGTGATTGGACATTTTAATCATGTGACTCCGCTTACCCCTCAAAATATAAACTGTCTGGTGCTCACTAAAGTTGGCTGTTGCATGAGACTTCAGTCTGCCTCATTTTTCAGCACCATCCTCCCAAGTCCCACCGCCAACCAGGAGTGACAAATGTGCTATCATAAACAATGCCATGGAGTAGCACTGTCTTAAAGTTAGGCTTCTTCAAAGTAAACTCGTTTGAGTACTTTACTTTCATTACTTTTTTTCTTTGAGACAAGGTTCTCTGTATAGCCCTGGCTCTCTCTCTATAGACTCGGCTGGTGATGTTTGATTCCCCTCTGTATGCTGTGAATAACACTGGTTAAAAAAGTAACTGCCTTGGCCTGTTAATAGGGTCGAATAGAGGTAGGCAGGGAAAACTAAACTGAATTCTAGGAGAAAGAAGGAGGAGTTAGGAGAAGCCATGTAGCCCCACTGGAGACAGATGCCGGAACTTTAGTCAGTAAGCCACAGCCACGTGGCAATACACAGATTAATAGAAATGGGTTAAGATTTAAGAGTTAGCCAATAAAAAGATAGAGCTAATGGGCCAAGCAGTGTTTTAAATAATATAGTTTCTGTGTGATTATTTCAGGGTTGAGCAGCCGGAAACCAACAAGCAGCCTCCTCCACCAGGCTGGCCTCAAAGTCACAGATATCTGCCTGCTTCTGTCTCAAGATGTGAGCTCTCACCATGCCTGCCTGCTCCCAGGCATGATGTTCATAGACCTGAAGCTGAAAGCAAGGCACCAATTAAATGCTTTTTTGTATAAGATGTCTTGGTCAGCTGGGCTGTGGTGGCACACCTTTAATCCCAGCACAAGAGGCAGGTGGAGAGTTTGAGGACAACCTGGTCTACACATTGAGTTCTAGGACAGGTTCCAAAGCTATAGAGAAACCATGTTGAAACAAACAAACACACAAGGGAGGGAGGGACAGAAAGAGAGAAGGAAGGAAGGAAGGAAGGAAGGAAGGAAGGGAAATAGATGATTTGGTCATGATTTTTTGTCAGGGCATTAGAAAAGTAACAAAGACAATAATGACAGACATCACACATAGTTCTAAGATCAATGATAGATAACACACAGAATACTCAAAACAGTAACTTTTAAAATGTTCTATTATTGCCTTCAGTAAATCTGTTAAACATACAAGGACAGGTGACCAAGACAAGTAATTCTTAAATGATGGTCCTTAAATGTTCCCTATTACTTCAAATGAGTGTATTCAACAATGTGTGGAATCAGTTGTTCCCTTACTGAAATTTCACAATCTGTCCAAACGTTTCACACAGAAGAAAAACCTGTTTGGAAAACTTCCTGACCTTCACTATAATGGCAGTTCCTGGTTGTCAACTTGACTACATCTGGATTTAACTAAGCTGGGCACAACAGTCAAGAATTTTTTTTTCTTAACTAATTCATTTGAAGTGGGAAGATCAACCATCAATCTGGGCCACACCTTTTGGTGGCAGCATATATAAAGGACTTGGGAAAAGGAAACTTTCGTTTTGTCTTCTTGCTCTTGCTGGCAAGTCTATTCCTTCACTGGCATTACAGCCTACTTTGGGATTCTGGAGTATACTGAAAATCAAATGGATTCTTAGACCTTCCATTGGTAGACAGCTGAACTAGCTGGACCACAGCAAGCCTTGCTAATAAACTCCCATTGTACACATTTATTCTCTAAATTTGGTTCCTTTAGAGAGTCCTAACTAACACATTCACCTTCCAAATCTGTTCCAGTACCTAGGCACACAAATCCTGGCAAGAACACTTACCTTCTGAGAGTCTTTCCTTCCAGCCCTGAGCTGCAGAAGTGAAGAACTCATTGTTAAGGGCTGAGCCATTTAATTTCATCAACCCATCTGGACCAACCTAGATCAAAGAGCAAGCCAGGGAAAATGATATGATATTCACTTCATGTTAATATGTGTACAAAGGTCAATCCTATAGAAATGTGGTGTCCTGGCACTGGGGAGACAGGGGCACCTCTGAATTAGAGGCCAGCCTAGTCTACAGAGTGAATTCCAGGACAGCAAAGGCTACATAGAGAAACCTTGCCCTTAAAAATTAAATAAATAAATAAATAAATACACAACAAAGACACCCACCCAAACATGGTTAGTTCATTTTTTACTGCTGTTTTTTTAAACCACATTATTTTTTCCATTAAAAAAAAAAACTAACAAAAACATTCTTTTCTCATGTATCTCTCTCTTCTCCTTTCTGTTTTCAGCTCCATTCCACAATGATGGAAAAAATATTCCTCATTGAATGATATTTAAATAAATGTATGTTTTCTTCTGAACAGAATTTATTATCTTCTTAACAGATCTGGGTTCAAATGATATATAACACACTCTAACTTTAGCTTTCTCATAGAGTACAATGTCTGTTCAAGTCAACTGGTCTATAGTTAGCTTCCCTGAAACTGCTGCATATTACTTCATGGGTTTAAATTAACGGTAAACATGCACTTTGTTACCAATGCTTTCCCATAATCAATAAAGCTGCAACAAATATCCTGGCAGATGAATACATTTATTGTTTTATTTCTTTGTTTGAAACAGGGTATTGTTGTGTAACCCAGGCTGGCCTTGAACTCACAGAAGTCTGCCTCCTAAGGGCTGGGATTAAAGGAGTATGCCATCTTGTCTAGCTGTACTAGTAATTTTCTTCTCCCTACCCCCCAAGACAGGGTTTCTCTGTGTAACAGTCAAGGTGTCCTGAAATTCAAAAAGACTGACTCTGCCTCCTGAGTGCTGGGAATAAAGGCGGGTGCCACCACACCCAGCTATTTCTAAGGTTGCACTCCTAGATCAAAATACAAGTAGTATGTAAGAAGATATTTATACTACTTACTGAAAAGGCTGAAGCTACAAACAATATATGAACATACAATTTGCTTTTCCTTGCAAACATGCATCAACACGTAATTTAATTTTTGTCAACATGGTAGGGTTGAAACGGTTGACGATTTTCCTGACTCCTGTGTACTCTGCTGTTGCTGCATGGTTATTAAACATGGAGGTCTGTGATGGTTCTCATCGCCTTCTTAGTTTTCTTTGTTTTCTATTTGGCTGCAATTTTATCAAACTGTAGGACATGGTTACTAATGTATTTCCCTTCATATATCTACTGAATTCATTTCTGATGCGTTGTTACAAAGCTTAAATTCTTTTTTTCTGGTAGGCTAGAGATGTATCTCAAGGATAGAGTACAAAATACTGGGAGACAAAATTTCTTATGTCTGTATTATGTGATATTTTGTTTGTGTTCTGACAAATAAAGCTTACCTGGAGATCATAGGGCAGAGCTAGCTACTAGTTAACCATAGAAGCTGGTCAGAGATGGCTCATACCTTTGATCACCATACTAAGGAGGTGGAGACAGGAAGTAATAAGGTGGGGTGGAGATAGGATTTCACCCCTTTTGGACAGAGGAACAGTAGAGGATGGAAGCAACTGGCTGCTGCTCCTGGTACTCCTGGATTAACAGTTCATATCTGTGTACGTGCTCACCCAGAATGTGCCATGACATCTGTGTGGAGGTCAGCTCTCTCCCTGCACTGTGGTGAGTCCTAGGGTTCAACTCAGGTTGTTAGGTTTGACTGTAAATTCTTTTACCCACTAAACCACAGGCCATGTGAAAATTTTTAATGAAAAAAAATTTCTAAATCTATACATCTAAAATCTGAATTACTTTCTATCTTTTTTTTTTTAAAAAAAACCATTTGACTCATATAAAATATACAGGAAAAAGTGTTACTCAAATCTTGTACAAAAATACTCTTGTTTACAAGCCTGATGGTGGTGGCATACACCTTTAATCCCAGTAGTAGAAAGGAAGAGGCAAGCGGGTTTCTCCCAATTCAAGGCCAGTTTGGTCTATAGCACTAGTTCCAGGAATGGCTCCAAAGCCACACAGAAAACTCCTGTCTTGACAAACTAAAACAAACAAACAAAACCTTTATTTATTTACAATACTTTCAACATAAACATTATCCACATTGAAAATATATGGTAACAACTTAAAGTACAAATTCACTTAATCTACTCAGTATCATTCATGTTGTTTATTGAATCCATAGCTCAAAGACTGACCAACTAGCTTCCTACCAAAAGTACACACAAACAAACTGACATTGTGGGAATGCCAATCTGGGTGAATTTGAACTAGAAAAATACTAGGGTCCCTTTTTTGAAAACTACACATGGCAGGAGATAGAAAAAGATGGCTAGTGGTTAAGAGAACTTTTTGCTCTTTCAGAGGACACAGGGTTCCAGCTCCCACATGGCAGCTTTGCACCATCATAATTCAGGGTGCTCTTCTGGCCATCTCAGGCATCAGGCACACATACACTGCACATACATGCATGCAAAATATCATAAACATAAAATCAAAAAAACCTTTAATACCATCACTACAACAACAAACCAGCTGTGGCAACCTTCTTGCAGAAAGGGTCAGCAGTGCATCTGAGAAAACAACATTAGACCTCCACAAATAGGTAGCAGTCATCTTTCATATACTACTAGCCTATTAGACTGCCAACAATTCTTCTTGGGGGGGGGTGGGAACAACACAAAACAGGACACGAAAACGTCCACAACAAGAAAAGAGACATGACAGCACCAGGTCTTTAAAAACATGCTGAAGCTTCAGTCTTCCACCAAGAATTAACTAGATGAATATCCTCCAAAGTAAATTTTTTTTTTCTTGAAAGAGATACAGCAGAGAATGCAACCATTAGGAACAGCTCTCCTTTAATCCCTATAGCTGGAAAAATACCTGATTGTCTGAATCATCCAAAAGGACTCATCACACATGCTAATTACAGAACTAAGAAAGCAAGTCTCAGAGAAAACAGACTTAGTGAACGCCTTTAATCCCAAAACTCAGGAGGCAGAGGCAAGCAGATCTGAGTTTTAGGCTAGACTGATCTACAGAGCAAGTTACAGGACAGCCTGGGCTACAAAGAGAAATCCTGTCTCAAAAACAAGAAAAGGAATAAAAAAAGAATAAGAACAAGAATGTCTTCAATTTGATTTGTCAACTAGCCATAATGATTTGTGCAGCTTACCTTTTAAGTCTCTTCCTATAAATGAGGCAACAAAGATAGTCTGCTACTAAACGCTAGGGAAAAGGCCTGCCTTTCATACTGAATTTGTTTTTGTTTTTTTTAATTGGTGGTACCTTATCTGGTATGTTTGTTCACAGCACATAAAAAGATACCTTAAAAAATCCTGAGAACTAGCCTGGCAGTGGGGGTGCACTTTAATCCCAGCACTGTGGGAGGCAGAGGCGGGTGGATATCTGTGAGTTCAAGGCCAGCCTGGTCTACAAGAGCTAGTTCCAGGACAGGTATCAAAAGCTACAGAGAAACCCTGTCTTGAAAATAAAATAAAAAGCCGGGCGGTGGTGGCGCACGCCTTTAATCCCAGCACTCGGGAGGCAGAGGCAGGCGGATCTCTGTGAGTTCTAGGCCAGCCTGGTCTACAAGAGCTAGTTCCAGGACAGGAACCAAAACCACAGAGAAACCCTGTCTCGAAAAACCAAAAAAAAAAAAAAAAGAAAGAAAGAAAATAAAATAAAATAAAAATAAAAAAAAAAACCAACTTGAGAACTAGACATGCTTGCCTAGCATGCACAAAGCCCTGCATTTTATCTCTAGCAACACATGTAATAGACATGGTAACACACATTTATAATCCTACACTCGGGAAGTAAACGAGTAAAGAGTGTAAGACAGCCTCAGCTACACAGTAAGTTTAAGTCCTGCCTAGAATACATGAGGTTCTATCTTGAAATCTTATGGAGTCCTAAAGTTGATGAATGCCAGAAGCCTCATTTAATCAGAAAACCCCCTGTGCTTTGACATAACGCACCTGTCGATCCACCTCTGGAAGCAGTAAAAGCAGGCGCTGCTGGCAATCTCCAGGAAGAAGTGAAAAGGTGTGCTTGTTAATTAGTGCGCGAAGATTAGTATTAACCAGAATGGAGTCGGGGGTCTCAACATCAATGTCAGCACATTTAGTCCTTTTCATTTGTCCTACGAAAAGTAGAAAACAGTAATTCATCACATGGCTCTCCTTTCACAGTTTTGGTTCTAACTATAGCTTATCTAAAGTAAAAAAGAAAGAAAATCAAAATTTAACAGTACACTTTGAAGAAATGAGAATTAAAGATCTCAGAAATGTAGTGTGTGTCACCCCCCACCCCACCCCGCCCAGACAGGGTTTCTCTGTAGATTTGGAGCCTATCCTGGAACTCGCTTTTGTAGACCAGGCTGGTCTTGAACTCAGAGATCAGCCTGCCTCTGCCTCCAGAGTGCTGGGATTAAAGGCGTGTGCCATCATCACCAAGCCCACCATCACACTTTCTTTATGAGAGATGACAAATACGAAGAATATTTCCTTTTATTGAAACAGAAAATCTGGCTGAGGAGATGGCACTATGGGTAGTGGGTAAAAAGACTTGACATGTAAACATAAGAATCTCAATTGCAGTATCCAGAACCTATTTAAAAGCTGCGTGTGGTAAGGTGTCTATCATCCCATGGCTCCTATAGAAAGATAGGCAGTAAAAACAGGAAGCTCACGGGCCAGCCAACCTGTGTTTGCAGTGGCAAGCAGTAGAAACCCTGCCTCACCACTAATTAGACTTGGTGTGTTTGAGAGGAAAAAAAAAGAAAAAAAAGAAAGCCATAAAATTGGGAGGGAAAAGTGTTAAAGGGTGACCAAGGGAAAGTTGGAGGGTCAACAGGATAGAAAGAATCAAAATATATGTATTTATATAAGTCTCAAATGAATAAATAAGAGGCGTGAGCCCTGTCTTACACAATGCAGACGGTAAGGACCATCACTTCAAACTTTCCTCTGACCTCCATAGAGGCACTATGATACATACATATTCACACATATGTACACAATCTTAACTAACACACACACACACACACACAGAGGACACTGAAAAACTTTTAAATAGAAAATCCAAGCCAGATGTGAGGGTACATGCTTGTAATCCCAACATTTAAAAGGCAGAGGCAGAAATACCTGAAGTTCAAGGCAACCTTGAGTACCAAGTAAGCATGGGCTGCATTTTTGTTTAAAAAAAAAAAAAAGCAACAACTTGAAATATATACACACAGAGAGATTTGAGTACACAAAGATTAGTAGTACTAATTAAATGCAGTGTTTTGGTTTTGTACATTTTTATACATTTTACTATTTTCACTGAATCTCATTTTTATCTTGCTATCTTCCATCTTTCCATCATTAGTTCTCATTTCGTAAATTAAATCTTGCAATAAAATTTGGGATTAAAAAATAAAAATGCAACTTAATGTAAATAAAAACTGGTTTCTATTTTTAAAAAAGGCAAACATAGTAATACAGGAATAGGAGGTATGTAGAAATACAGAAAAAAATTTAAATATTTCTGGTGGAACTGAAATTTACGCCATAATCTTAAAGAGAATTTGTAATACCTAACAAATTTAAAACATTGTGTGTACATTTGTGTGTTGGAGGGTATTAAGCCACAGAGCGTATATGGAGGTCAGGGACAACTTTCACAAGTTGATTCTCTCCTTCTACCATTTGGATGCTAGGGGTCAAATTTAGGTTGTCGGTCTTGGCAGCAAGTGTTCTTAGCCGCTGAGTCATTTACCTGGCCCCTGACAAACTTATACACTTGTATAGAGATATTTCTTCAATCCTTGGTGTAAGTACCCACTAGCTCCTGGCTGAAGTACAAGGAAAGTCACTCTCAGGAAAGAATTTTCCTCAAATCAGGCCCTCAGGAGTCCTAGAAATTAAAATCCAACACAATCACAAAAATTATCCAATAAATTATAAAGAATGCCACTATGAATGTCATTAGAATTCAGAAACAACAGATTTATACTTAGACATATCTCATTTGGAAAACATAATACAGAGTAGCTATTTGTAAATAAATCAAGAAATAGCAAATGGAAACAACAATCAAGAACAAACAGACTGCTGGGCGATGGTGGCGCACGCCTTTAATCCCAGCACTCGGGAGGCAGAGGCAGGCGGATCTCTATGAGTTCGAGACCAGCCTGGTCTACAGAGCTAGTTCCAGGACAGGCTCCAAAGCCACAGAGAAACCCTGTCTCGAACACCCCCCCCCCCCAAAAAAAAAAGAACAAACAGACTTTAAAAAGAAGCAGGACTAGTATAGCAGCTAACACCTGTGACCCCAGCACTTGGACAATAAAAGCATGAAGATCATTAAGGTTTTCCGCCACTGCATGGCGAACTCAAGGCCTGGCCATATCCCACACAGAGAGAGACTTAAGAGACTGGGGGAAAGGGAGCTAGGGAGAGGGCTTAGTAGTTAGGAGCACAGGATGTCCTTCCCAGGGGACATGGGTTCAATTACCAGCACCCACACGACAGCTTCCAACTGTCTATAACTCCAAGATCTAATACCCTCACAAAGACCTATACCAGTGCACATACAATAAAAATAATTAGCCGGGCAGTGGTGGCGCACGCCTTTAATCCCAGCACTCGGGAGGCAGAGGCAGGTGGATCTCTTGGAGTTCGAGGCCAGCCTGGTCTACAAGAGCTAGTTCCAGGACAGGCACCAAAGCTACAGAGAAACCCTGTCTCGAAAAAACCAAAAAAGCCGGTTGTGGTGGCGCACGCCGGTAGGATTTGCTGAAGGAGGCAGAGGCAGGAGGATCACGAGTTCGAGGCCAGCCTGGGCTACACATTGGGGGCTGGAGAGATGGCTCAGTGGTTAAGAGCATTGCCTGTTCTTCCAAAGGTCCTGAGTTCAATTCCCAGCAACCACATGGTGGCTCACAACCATCTGTAATGAGGTCTGGTGCCCTCTTCTGGCCTGCAGACATATACACGGACAGAATATTGTATACATAATAAATAAATATTTAAAAAAAAAAAAAAAAAAAAAAAAGAAAAAACCAAAAAATATAAAATAAAATAAATAAAAATAATTAAAAAAAGATAATGAGAAAGGGCAAAATTTAAATAAGTTTTAATAAATGTCTCTCAAAAAACCCCAGCAATATCAAAGATGAGTAACAGAAATCAGGCACGGAGGTGTTCATTTGTAACCCCAACAATTGACATGGCATTTGGACAAAGCTGTGGCCTAACAAAGAGAAAAGGATTTTTACTATCTATACATCCGATAAAGGGTTAATACCCAAAATATAATCAAGACACTTGATTTAAAAAAAAAAAAGGCAACCTATCTGGGCAGTGGTGGCAAATACCTTTAATCTCAGTTATTAAAAATCAAAGGCAGGTGGGTCTCTGTGAGTTCCAGGCCAGCCTGGCTTACGGAGAGAGTTCAAGAGCAGCCAAGGATACACAAAGAAACTGTCTTGAAAATCCAAACTAGACCAAACCAAAAAATAACCCAAATGGCCCCCAAAGGGAATGGCACTGTTAGGAGGTGAGGCCTTGTGGATGAAGTATGTCGCCGTAGGGGTGGGCTTTGAGGTCTCTTGTTTAAGTTTCCCTCAGTGACTGTTCAGATGACTTCCTGTAGCCTGCAAGACTCTGAGCTACCAGCACCAAACCTACCTGCCTGCTGCCATGCTCCCTGTTGTAATGATACTAAACTGAACCTTTGAAATTATAAGCAAGCTGCCGATTAAATATTTCCTTTTGCTGTGGTCGTGGTGTCTCTTCACAGCAAAAAAAACCCTAAGACAAAATCTAAACAGAAAATTCTCAATAAAGACAGAGGCTGAGAAACATTTAAACGATATCCTTAGCCACCAAGGAAATGAAAACCAAAACTACTTTGGGATTCCACCTTACACCTGTCAGAATGGTTAAGATCAATAATACAAGTGACAACTCTCACTGGTGAGGATGTGGAATTAGGGAAACACTCATCCATTGCTGGTGGAAGAGCACTTATATAGCCACTGTGGAAATCAGTGTGGTGGCTCCTCAGAAAGTTGGAAATCAACCTAACTCAGATCTAACTGTATCATTCTTTGGACATGTACCCAAAGGATGCTCTATCCTACCACAGAGATACTTGCACAACCATGCTCATGATAACTCTATTCAAAGTAGCAATAAATCGGAAAACACCTAGATGTCCCTCAACAGAATGGATAAAGAAAATGTGAGACATTTATACAATGGAGTATTACTCAGCTCTTTAAAAAAAAAAAAAGTGTGTGGTGGGGGAGAGGGCAGAAGGTGCTGGAAGTGCTCACTCTCTGCAGGGAACCAGAACACGGCCTCTTGCCCCCTCCCTCCAATTAGCCCCTCCCTCCAGTTGGGGCTGCAGTTGGTGCAGCTGCCCCAGGCTGCCCTGGGAAAGGTCCTGTAACAAGAGGTGGGAGGTGTGCTGAGTCCTGAAGACAGACAGACAAACAGACAGACAGAGACACAGACACACACAGACACACACACACACACACAGCCGGGCAATGATGGTAACGTATTCGAGGAAACAGCAGAGACTCAGTGATGGCTGTCACAACTGGAAGGGAGACTCTCAGCCTTTCCATGTTCTTTAAGTGTTCGGCAAAGAGTCACTCCAGTAGTGGTGATCACAGACATGAAAAGAAAGATCCTTCACCACCGAATAAAATGTTGCGGAGATCTATCTGACAGTCCTGAAAACAAATACAGTGACATCACAGGTCACAGCAAGGCCAAAAATGTGCATACTCAAAGAGTTAGAGAAAGGGAAGGTGGGACCAGTTACTCGCCACAAGAAAATTCACACAACCACAGTGCTCTTCATAGTTCAAATTCACATTTTTCTAATTCAAGCAATAATCCAAGCAAAACTTCAGATGCACCTTATGATTCTGCAGATGACCAGTCTGAGCATGTTAGCTCTTCTGGAAAAAATATTACTACAATTGCCGCACAGAAGTATCACAGTGGGAAAAAACAAAAGTGTGGCTTGAAAGAAAACAGAGACAAAAAGAAGCAAATAAGTTGGCAGTTAATTGTTTCCCAAAAGATAGGGATTACAGAAGAGGTGATGCAAGCAACAGCCACCAGTGGGATGGAAGACAAGCATTCCAGCGATGCCAGCAGTTTGCTCCCACAGAATATTTTGTCTCAAACAAGCAGACACAATGACAAAGACTACAGACTGCCAAGAGCAGAGACTCACAGTAGCTCTACACCAGTGGTTCATCCAACCACTACCCCAAGCACTGTTCCTTCTAGTCCATTTGCACTTCAGCCTGGATCACCAGCCAAAGAAATCATTTGATGCTAATGGAGCATCTACTCTACCAAAACTGCCTACATCCGCAGCTTCTGTCCCTGCACAGAAAACAGAGAGAAAAGAATCTGCTCCAGGAGACAAATCAGTATCACATTCTTGCACAACTCCTTCCACATCTTCACCTCCAACATTTGCTTCGAAAGTACCTGTTTCTCCTGTTCCACAATCACCAATACCTCCTTTACTTCAGGACCCAAATCTTAGACAGTTGCTTCTTGCTTTACAAGCCATGCTACCTACAGTTTAGTAATTCTAATGTGGATATATCCAAAATAAATGAAGTTCTTACAGCAGCTTTCCTGCAGTCTGTCATCCACAAGTTTCTTACTGCTGGACCATCTGCCTTCAACATCACCTCTCTGATTTCTCAAGCTGCCCAGCTCTCTACACAAGCCCAGCCATCTAATCAGTCTCCAAGGTCTCTAACGTCCAATGCCTCATCCCCAAGATCCTATGTGTCTCCAAGAATAAGCACACCTCAGGCTAACACAGTCCCTATCAAACCTTTGATTAGTACTCCACCTGTTTCATCACAGCCAAAGGTTAGTACTCTAGTAGTTAAGCAAGGACTGGTGTCACAGGAAGCCACACAACAGCCTAAAACTGCTGACAAGCAGCAGGGCCGTGAGCCTGTCTCTCCTTGAAGTCTTCAGCGCTTAAGCAGCCAGATAAGCCCATCATTTGGTCCAAATCATACTTCCAGTAGTAATGTATCAAATGCAACAGTTATATCACAGAATACATCTGCTCAGCCTGTGTGTCCATTAACACCTACACTAGCAGCACACTTCAATGATAATCTCATAAAACATGTTCAAGGGTGGCCTGCGGACCATGCAGAAAAACAGGCATCAAGATTGCGTGAAGAAGCCCATAATATGGGAAGTGTTCAGAAATATATACTGAATTAAAAAATTAGTTCGAGCATGTGAAATTCAAGCAACTTTGCAAGAGCGGAGGATACTGTTTTGGGGACAACAAATAAAGGAACTCGAAAAGCTAAAAATCAGAATTCCTTCATGGTTAGAAGATGTGAATAATTGCACATGATATCCTACAGGAACTGTAAATCTCTTGCCTAGTCATAACATTGAGCTGCATTAAGTGGACCTTTAAGCTGGGCAAATGAAATAACAAGGAGACAGGAATCTGTGATAGTCAACTCAGGGGACAAATACAAGATTGATTTGTAAAACCCTTGAAATGTAGATTTCTTGTAGATGTATCTTCATGTTTTAAGTATGTTTTGTAGAGTGAAGCCACAGGAAGCCATGTGTAACAGAGCTTAGACATCCAAAACTAATCAATGCCAAGGTGGCTAAATACCTGGCCTTTTACATGAAAACCTGTCTGCAAAATTAAAGAAAGAAAAAATTTGGGGAGTTAATTTATCATTCAGAAATCTTACATTTTCAAAAATCCAGTGCAAGCGCCAGGCGATCTGTGTCTAAGGATACAATTTTGGGCAGTGTACAAATATCCTGAGACAACTGTTCTGCACTTGGACCTGATCAGGAGCAGTGCTGCTCCATTTGTTCTGCGCAAAATAAAATACAAGTTCTAGTATATTAGATTAGCAAAAGCAAAAAATAGTAAGATCAGAGACTATCACAAAGAATTAAAAATACCAGCCAATTAAATACTGTTTGCAGAGAAATATACAAGAACAAGGGCACACAAATAAATAGGCATACCAGGCGAAATCTAACCAAACAAAACACTTATCAGTGATTGATAAAGTAAATAATAATGAGGAATTCATCAGGAAGATCTTACTTTACTTTTGTGGCTAGGATCTTGCTATATACATACACGGCAGGCCTAGTATATAATTCAGGCTGAACTGTAAGTGACCAATAGATCAACTTAAACAAGAAAACATTTAACACAAAATAGCTTTAAATACTTAAAGGCCAGCGCAGAGTGGTTCATGTCTATAACCCCAACATCTAGAATGCTGAGGGAGGAAGGTCACAAGCTCAAAGCTAGGCTGAGACACTTCTCTTACACACAAATCATGAGTTTGTGTGGGGCCGACGGCCACAATGGGACACGCCCTCACACAGAGCACATTTTAGCATATCTTGTGCAATCATTAACCAAGCTCACCCAAACCAAACATTTAAAAGGATGCACTGCTGCATGGTGGTGGCACACATCTTTAATCCCAGAACTCAGGAGGCAGGCAGGTGATCTCTGAGTTTGAGGCCAACCTGGTATTCAGAGTAAATTCCAGGACAGCCAAGGATACACAGAGAAACTTTGTCTCAAAAAAACCAAAACAAGCTGGGCGGTGGTAGCGCACACCTTTAATACCAGCACTTGGGAGGCAGAGGCAGGCGGATCTCTGTGAGTTCGAGGCCAGCCTGGTCTACAAGAGCTAGTTCCAGGACCGGAACCAAAAAGCTACGGTGAAACCCTGTCTCGAAAAGCCAAAAAAAAAAAAACAAAAAAAAAAAAACAAAAAACAAAACAAACAAAAACCAAAAACAAGCATTATTTTTAATTTAAATTATGTGTATGCACGTGTTTGTGTGTGCATCAGTACAGGAGAAGCCAGAGGAGGGAATTAGGTCCCTGAGAGCTGGAGTACTTTGAAAGTAGTGAGATGAGTTGGGAGCCGAACTCTGAAAAAGCAGTATAGGCTCTCAACTCCTAAGCCATCACTTCAATCACTTTGACCACAGGGTTCATTATTTTAGAATAATAACCTTGAATCAATATATTCAGAATTCACTGAACAAGCAGGACTTCAACAGTGTTAAGCCTAGAAGAGAACTTCTCCGTGTATTTCAAATAATGCCAAGAGTAACGATTACCACAGTAACAGCAGCTGCAAACTTATGAAGGGTTACTAGGTGCAAGGCACTATTCTGAGCATTTATTTCTATTAACTTGCTCACAGGCAGATCTCTGTGAGGTTGAGGCCAGCCTGGTCTACAAGAACAAAAACCCGGTCTCAAAACAACAACAATAACAACAAGAAAATAACACAGAGAAAAAAAAAAAAGAAATTATGCCTGACTTTTTAAAATAAAATTAAAAATTTACAATAAACTCAAGCAAGTAGCTGATGAATTTTAAGCATACTGTGAACACATCGCTGCACTGAAAACGTAGTCTTTGTAAACTAACTTACTTGTGTGAAGTCTGTCAGACCTCTGGAAAGACTTCTTCCCCAAGCCTAGAAGAGAACTGTCCACTTTCACTGAGGGAGAAAAGCTGGAGTTTGAGTTCTGGGGACTGCTTGACTGTCCATCAGATTGCTTTCCTTCCCATAGGGCTAGGAGAAAAAAATATTGAAGATGGGTAACACTGGGATTCATAAACAAAAGTCCACCAAGGGGATAGCAAGACAGCCTGACTTATCACATGTAGAAGAAAAGTGACTCCTTCAAGTCAGCCCCAGACTTCCACATGCAGTTGCTCCCCAGATAACAATAAACCTAATAATTAATAAGATAAAATAAAAACATTCAGACCATTATTCCGTGGAAATAAATGAAGAAATGTAGGTCTCTTGAAAGCTTTATAAATAAAATCCATTACATCTTCTCTCACATTATTAATCTCTATTCACAAATGCTTTTCTAACAAAAATGAAAATATCTCCAAGACTAAGACCACTAGCAGTCGCTAGAATCAGCTTATGGTATTCAGGTGAATTATATAAAGCAAAACAAAGCTAAAAACAAAAGCAACAACAAATACCAAGTTTATGTAAACATAGCCAACAGAAATTAAAGAGTAGATATTTTTAGAAAGCCTACATAGTTAATTTTTAACTTTTATGTTTAAAATTTTTTTGATTTTGTGTATGAGTGTTTTGTTTGCGTGTATGTTATTGCCCCACCAGAATGCTCAGTGTCCTCAGACACCAGAAGATGAAATCAGATCAGTATACATTCTTACTGACTGAGCCATTTCTCCAGCCCCATCTTCATATTTTAAACGAGAGCATTTAAAATGTAACAAGTTCACTTTGAGGCTGCATGGAAGGCTAAGTCAAAAAAACCTACTTGTTGCATACATTTGCCTAAGGACCAAGTTTCTCTGTATAGCATTGGCTGTCCTTGCCTCTGCCTCCCATTGCTGAGATTGAAGGTTTGCACACCACCTTATCCTAGGATCTATATCAGTTTTGTGGCAGCAGAAAGATAATGCTAGGAAAAGAACAATTTAAAAGTAGACAGTACAGTAAAATAACTTACAATATCAAAATTTCAGATAATCTGGGAGAAAAAAAATTCCACTGGGGAGGGGAGATTAGTCAAACTGCCTACCAGGTTTGGCAGGTAGAGAGTCACTGGCTGCTTTGACAGTCTTGAGAGAGAGGTGTTGATTGGAGATGGACATGCTTGACCTGCATTGCTGCTGCTGCTGCTTCTTCTGTTGTTGCTGCTTCAGGGCCTATAAAGAAAAACTGGCAGTAAGAAATAAGCAAACTGGTTTACATTAAAAGTGAGTGACATCAGTTATGGCGAGAACTTACTCTGACATCTATTCAATACGAAAAAAACCCTAAATTTAACAAAACTGACACAAGGACTAAGTGACCTACAGAATTTGGGTACTTTGGGGGGAGGCCAAGATTATTCCATTATATGTAGCTGTAAGAAAAAAATCATTAATTTTTTTTCAGAACTTAAAAATCAGCAGTAAGGCAAGGAAATTACAATCTTATTAGAGAATTACATAATTTCATAATTTCTCGAAAGAGAATTCTAAGTCATGTACCAGTAAGCTTAATTTGCACTAATTCTATGAAAAAGGCAACTATTTGTATTATTTATGACTCACAGACCTAACATTTTAATAAGTATTTAAATTTCCCTGAGTAAGAGCAAAGAGACTTGCCTAAATGATAATGTCTTAGTTATTTACAGCAATGAAATGAAGAGTGAAAAGGACACTGTAATTAGGTTCTGATAACAACAGTTAGTTGCTTCTGGACATTGTAGGTCATTTTTCTTCTTTTAACAGAGGTAGCATGATATTATTTAGAATGACCATTAAAAGAAAGAAAGAAGGCCTGTGAGATGGCTCAATGGGTAAAAGAACCAATCTCCAAACCCAGATATCAGAGTTGGATCCCTAGGACCCAGAGTCGAAGAAAAGTGGCTCCCAAAAATTGTTCTCCGACTTCCACGTGCTAAGGCACAGACACTCACATAAAATGAAAAGAATTACTAACAAAAATTCCCTCTTCCAAATTTTACAAACTGGATTTAAACTGTGGAGACATGAACATGCACCCATATTCATGTGCCCATAGACATGGAGACAAGTATACAGCCATACTCACGGGTATAGTGTAGAGACGTAAACATGCACCCACGTCCGTGCTTACGTACATATAAAGTATGGAGACATGAATGTGCATCCACATCAGTGCAACCACAGATATGGAGACATATATACATACACATGATCACCACACACACACACACGCACGCACGCACGCACGCACGCACGCATAAAAAGGGCTGGGGGGATGGCTCAGAAGGTAAGGACACTTCTTGCTCTTGCAGAGAATGCACGTTCAATTCCCAACGTCACTATGGCAGATCACAACTGTGTGTGTGGCCATTGGTTCTGGTCCTGCAAACAACTTGTAATAAAAGAACTTTTAAATACTTTAAATTTCACGTAATTTAAAATGTTTATGGACTCTGAGCCAGGAATTATGACACACACCCTAAATAATAGTTCTCGGGAGGCACAGGCAGGAGAACCTCTGTGAGTTTCAGAGCAGTCAGCACGATACAATAACATTTAGTCTCAAAAAATTTCAAATTGTGAGTTCTAATCATTCATAAAAAACAACCTGTTTACTGACCAGGCTTCCAGATACTCTGATAGGATGGTTCAAAGAAAATCTGGGGCCAATGGGTTAACCATTCAGCAATGGTCTTTCGTATTTATATATGTGTATTCGTGGAGAACAAAAGTCAACATCAATGTCTTTTCTAACAGAGTCCTTCAATTTTCAAGGCAGGTTCTCTCACTATGCCCAGAGATCACTGCACTGATCCATCTAGACTAAATGGCCTACAATTCACAGAATTACCAATTCTGCATCCCTAGTCAGGTGATTACAGACAAAAAATGCCATGTATAACTTTTACATGGTTACTTGTACATGACCTACTGTGCCAACTGTGCAGCCTCTATCAGGGGTCCTTCTTTTAAAAGATTTATTTTTATGTGTATGTGTGTTTTGCCTCCGTGTCTGTATACTGTGTGCATGCAGTGCCCAACGGGGCCAGCAGAGGTCACTGGATTCCTGGGACTGAAATTATAGACAGTTACGGGATGATAACCAGTGAGCAAACAAACCAGGTCCTTTGGAAGATCTGCCAGAGCTCTTAACCCTTGAGCCATCTCTCCAGACCCTAAAACATTTTAAGATTCAATTACTTAATTTTATGCATGTATCTAAGTATGTGACATGTTTGTGCATGTCTCTGCAGAGGTGAAAATGAATCAGACCACTGGAATTGAAGCTAAACTATAAGTAATCTGATACAGGTTCTGAAAACCAAACCAAGGTCTTCTATTAGAGGAGAAAACACTCTTAATCAACGAGCCATTATCTCCAAACCCTTTATTTTTATATTAGTTCTAGGTAAGATATGTGTTTGTGCCCTGACTACACCACCTGTTAGGATCAGCAGAGGACTATGAATCCCTGAGCTAAAAAAAGGATAAGCAATCGTCAGCCCATTGTGGGAACTGGGAACTGAAATTGTGTCTTCTGTTAGAACAGCATCCTTTCGGTGATTTCTTCATCTCTTAACTGCATAGAACAACCTTTTACAGCATAAGCTTCTAATGCTCTACAACTGTCCATCTTATAGACAAAAATGTTTATACAACCCCTAACTAATTCATCTTAGACAGATGTGAACAAATATGTGCAGTATCTACATATAACATATAAGTTAGGCCTGGTTTTAACTATTACAAACTTTTATACAAATATTTTTATGTGTATCTTTCTATAACATGAGTTAAAATGTTTAATTGAATGTTCTCAGAGCATGTACATTTAAAATTTAATAGATAGTGCAAAATTTTCTTCAATAAGGTTATAGTGGCTGGATATATAGCTCAGAGGCAGAGTACTTGCCTACCATTCACAGTCCTTCATTCAGTCATTCATACTTAATGATTAAATGTTTTTTTACTACAGTATATCAATATAGAAGCAACAATTTTCACCATACTTGTCATTTTCTGATTATAATAAAATTTCTTACTCATACCAAATCATGAGAAGAAAAATGGTGTTATTCAAAGTTTTCCTAGTTACTTGTAAGTTTGTATTTATTGATCACTCGCTGCTTCTTGGAGGGAGCTGCTAGGCAGTACCTTGCTCTATAACCCAGGGTGCCTTGAAATTAGGATCTTCCTGCCTGAGCTTCCTGAGTACTTGGATTATATGACTATGCTGCCAGACAAAGCATTTCAAGAAAAAAAGAGAGAGAGAACAAAGGTGGATGGAGGGACACAACAGCCTGGAAAACATATTGAGCCAATCCAACCAATACAGCAAGGTGTTATCTCAAAACAAAAGCAATCCAAAGTCAGCTCTTTGAAAATTCAAAAAAAAAAAAAAAACTTAACTAGCAATTAATATTGGGAAGAAATAAATGAACAAGGATAAACAAAAAACAAAGGATAACTTTACAGAGTATATGCAATAATCAAGTAAAAAGAAAATTTTACTTCTTTTTATAACAAACAGACATTAATTAATTAATTATAGAGTTGGGGGTGGGAGGGCATAGAAATGGAAGTCAGGAACCACTCCAGGGAGGTAGTTTTCTTTTCCACCATGTGGGTTCCAGGAATGTGAACACAGATTTTCAAGTTTAGGAATAAGTGCCTTTACCCACTGAGCAACCTCACTAGCCCAGAAATGGTCCATTTTCTAACAAAAATCTCCAAAATTGATTCAAAAACAGGAAAACCAATAGTCTATTATTTTATTAGACAACAAAGCACAGTATAATGTAAGGAATATAATTCTTCAATATTATTTTTCCAACCTAGGGAGGAAAGATAATGTCTACAACTTTCTCCCCAAATCGAGAATAAAATATACAACTACACAGTTTATGTTAATGACGGGTGAAATTTCCTCATTTCAAAATGCACTAGAAAACGATAGATAGATAGATAGATAGATAGATAGATAGATAGATAGATAGTTAGATAGATATAGACAGACAGACAGACACCTGTTGCTACTTTATAGCCCACATTGATTTCAAATGCTTCTCTCCCTACCTCGGCCTCCAATGTGATAGGCAATGTGATAGAATTACAGATGTGTGCTACAAAATATTTGTTTCTTGGTTTTATCAAGGCAAGAGTTTTGCTGTGTAGTAGCCCTGACTGTCCTGGAACTCACTTTGTTCCAGGCTGGCCTCAAACTCATAGACATCTGCCTGCTTCTGCCTCAAAAGTAGTGCTGGGACTAAAGGTGTGTTACATCATGCCTGATTTTGAAATATATATCCTATGTAAAGAATAAACATATAAGTTCTATTCTATACTTCCAATTAGTATAATATTAAGAAAGTTAACAATGATTCTATATATTAGATTAATAGTAAACAATCTACTGAATCATTATAAGATCCAACCAACCTGAGGATGGGGACTGTGACTCAGTGTGAGAAGCATTTACTTACTGTGTAATGCTACGAGTTTCATCCCCAGTCCCCTATAACAATTACCAGACTAGACATAAGAAAAGCCCTGAAAATTTAAACACCTATTCATGATTCAGGTCATGCACTTTAAGTAGGAAAAAAATCTTGAGTCTTCAAAAACATCTTTAAAAGGATTTACCAAAACCCTACACACAATGGGTGATAAACATAGAGCATAAAAATTACTAGCAGCAAATTAGCAGATTGTTGACATTTACCATGTAAAGAAATGAATCTAAATGCTTTTAATAAGTTTTGAGAAATTAACAGAAGAGTTGATGCAGTGTTTTATTGAAACAGGATTTTGATACATCATTGTTCATTATACAACAGAACTAAAGGTATGAACTGTAGAAGGAGCTGTGGGCTGTGTTCCTTCTACACAGCTCCTGGCCGCCTGGCTAGCTTATGCCCCAAAATAACAACACACAGACTGTCTGAGGCGTCTTATCTCACTTCCTCTTCCTCCCCGCATTCTGTTCTGTTTACTCCACCCACCTATGTTCTAACCTATCAGGGCCAAGCAGTTTCTTTATTAATTAACCAATGACCTTCCTCCATCAGTGAACCACCATGTGGCTCATTTTACCAAGACAGGATCTCTCTGTGAAGCTGTCATTCTGTAGACTGGGCTAACCTCTGCCTCTTGAATGTTGAGATTATAAAGCACAGACCACCACCGCCTGGCTTTCATAACTATTCTTAACTGGAAAGATTATTTTTCTGATAAAGACAGACTTAACAATTACCTGCTTTAATGCCTTCTTGCTGTGCTTCTGTGATGGAGAAATGACTTTACTTGCTGGAATGGTGGGTGATGGGCAGCCCGACTGGGGAGAGGATGGCTGTGACAGTCTAGATGATACTAGAGGAAAATTGACAAGGAAAAATTGTGTTATCAAGAATTTATATCAAGCACCACTCCTTCCCCAGATCATATGCTGCTACCTGTTAAGAACTGTGACCAAACACTTTAGGGAAGGTTCTTCTCTTTGGAGTTGTCCTGCAAACAGTCTCCCTTTTCACTTTATTTCCTCAGAAAGTTCTAGTGTAGGATGATAGGATGGGGAAGGGGTGAGTATTAGTATATATTACTTCTCATTGTAATATATTAGAAGTGATTAAAGAAGCAGGAAGTCATGTATAAATCATGTTATCAATTTAGAACTAGAAAAAGGTCTAAGGATCTCTGTAGTACCTACAGTCCTAAAGTAAACTTGAAGGTAAATAATGAAAACACAACATAGTGGAAAGTTGTGACAAAGTTTATATTGAAGACAATACTGCCATTTCCACTTCAAAATTCTTCCATTGTTTAACCCTGTTGGTTCTTACCTCATGTCACAAGTTTTAGGTTTATCTGTACAAAGGGATTTTCAAGATTTCTCTACTGGAAACAACCACTTACTTTCTATGTCGTCATTATCTGTTTTGTATACACTACATATACAAAATGAGTACATTTTAATGTTTATATGCATGCAATGCCTGGTATCCAGAGTACAGAAGAGGGTATGGAATCCCCTGGAATGAGGTTAAAGAGAGTTGTGAGGTGCCATGGGGGTGCTAGATATCAAACCTGGGCCCTGTGGAAGAGCAGCCAGTACTCTAGAGTGAACAATCTCTCCAGCCCCATTTATTAAAAAAAAAAAAAGTGTGCATGTGTGTGTGTGCGCGCGTGCACACGCGTACATCTGAAGGCAGTGCCCATGGAAGTCAAAAGAGAGTATCAGATCCTCTAGTGATGGTAGCACTGTGAGCTGCCCAGTGTGGATGCTGGGTACCAAACTCATGTCTTCTACAAGTCCAATGAATACATTTTGTTAGTTAAGGAGAAAGATAAAAATTATTGGTTCAGACAAACTCATGTGAGAGCAAGGAAATGCTATTTGAGCCAGGAACAACCTTGAGATGACTCTTGAAGAATACACATTGCCTAATGTCTTCTTTTAAAATACTTGACATGAAAGCATTTATAGCAAAATAGTATTATATGGTTAAAACCATGAAGTATGTATCTATCTGATACAAAAATAAGAAATATACATACTAAAACATACAATGCCCAGAGTATAACATACCACATTACTCTCAAATGTCCTAATATTAATACAATTTAACTTTGGTTTTGTATCCTCATCTTCATAAATGTCATGTTTATGTATATGGAAGGAAATTGATATACAATCAGTTTGATGCTAAAATAAAACAGAAAAAAAACCCAAGCACTTATAATCTACTACTACAAAAAAAATTAAGCTAAACAGTAAGAGATGGCTCAGAAGTAAACAATTGAACAACAGAAAGAAAATATATCCTCAATGTGTTATTAGATGTTGACAAATTATAAAATAAGAGGTAAAAGAAATTATGTTCATTAGACTGTTGAAAGTGTACAATTCATATTTGCAAAACTATAAAACCATTACCACCATCAATTTTCATCATCCTGCCCCAAAGAGAACATTTGTTAGCTGTCCACTGTTCTACACTTCCACTTTGCACCTAATCCTAGCCGACTACTTACCTCCTATTTGTCTCTATAGATCTATCTAAATTCTGTTTGATATGATGGAATAATACACTTTTGTGTGTGAATTTGTTTTCAAATACCAAGATCTTTTGAAGGTTCATTTATTATATTCTGACAAGAATACTTCATTTCATGATTGAATAATTAACTATTACATGCATATATCACATTTTGTTTATATTCACGAAATAGTGAATTTCTCACTTTTACTCAATAACGATATTGTGAATAACATTCTGTTTGTGTATATAATGGCAAGTGGGATTGCCCCTGCCTTTCTTTATTTTTTGAGAAATAGACTTACACTATAGCCTAGATTTCACTTTGTAGTTTAACTCGTAGAAATTTTCCTGAGATTATAGGTGTGTACCAACCTGCTTGGTTCAGCTTCTTAAACATTCTTTCCTGCTCTCCCTCCTTTTGAATAACTCCATGTTTTGCTTATTTATTTGTTTTTTGTGGGTTTTTTTCTTATTGGGTTTGCATGTTTGCTCTGACTTTTGCTTTTTTGTCTTCTATGGTTTTCTGGGGGTGGGGGCGAATATGAAGCTGGGTGAGTAGGGAGGGTAAGATGATCTGGGAAGAGTTGGGGGGTTGGAAAGAAAATGATCAAAATGCATAGTATCACCAAAAAAAAATAAAAAAATAAATAAATAAAATAAAATAAATAAAAAAGGCCGGGCGGTGGTGGCGCACGCCTTTAATCCCAGCACTCGGGAGGCAGAGGCAGGCGGATCTCTGTGAGTTCGAGACCAGCCTGGTCTACAAGAGCTAGTTCCAGGACAGGCTCCAAAACCACAGAGAAACCCTGTCTCGAAAAACCAAAAAAAAAAAAAAAAAATGCATAGTATGACAAAGATTATCAAACAAAAACCCTTGGAATTAGGAAACCTGAATTCAAGTTTGTAAGTCACCTTATCTGCGCTCTCCAATTTTTTGGATTCAATCCAGGAAAGAACTACAGGGTTCTATGGCAATTCTGTGCTTAATTGTTTTTAGGAACTGCCAATCTGTTTTACAAAATGATTACAATTCCAGTAAGAATGCAAGACGGTTCCATTTTCTCTATGTAACTGTGAGCATGTGTTGTTATGTCTTTTTTATTTGGTCACTGATATTATAGAGAACATATGAAAATATAAGGTTAAACTATTAATAGTCAACTGTTCTTTCTAAAGCCTTGCAAGAATTTCATAATATATATTTTCTCACTGGTTATAAACAGCAAACATCCAGAACAGCCCTACTAAAGAATCTAAGAATTATACTTCATTGTCTTAAAAAGATAAAGCTATCATGTTACCTGGAAGGCTCTTCCGTAAGGCAAATGCCTTTTCTAACAAAAAATAAAGCACAAACCTGTCTCTAAGCCACCTCAAATAAATGGTGAAAATTATAGACCCCATTAGTAGGGACTGAAATTATGCTAAGTTCTAGTCTCAACATCTATGAAACTTAGAACACTCTTCTTTTCAAATGCTAACGTCTCAGAACTTCAAAGAGTAAACATGATTTGTTGAGAAACCTCTCTTAATATTCTCTTCTATAACAGAGCAAACAAGTCTTTACATGTTTAACAAGATTTTGATCAACTCTTCTATCTTCTAACCAAGTATAAGTTCTATTTTCTAGTCAAAACTCCTAAAATTCTCTTTCAAAAGATAACTAAATCTAAATAACTAGGTTTGTATCATTACATTTTTTCTGTGTATATAATACAAAGATACATACTGGCTGCTGTGTATTTTGTCATTACCTATATTTACATATCAAAATAAAACTGATCTAGCTTGAGAAAAGATACAAACCAAGTATGGACCAAGGTCAAGAATTAAATCTTATTTTCAAAATAATGAATAAGCACCTGGATTAGGTTGACAATGGTGACCAAAAAAAAAAAAAAAAAATGTGCTCGTGTCCTAATTCTCAGAGCCCATGAACGTTGCTTTATTGGTGAAAGGGTTAGTTTTGTGATTAGATTATCAAAATTCTGCAAATCAGTCTTAACAAAATATTTTTTATTTTTCAAAACAGGGTTTCAATTTATAGCTCTAGCTGTCAGAGAGATCCACCTTCCTCTGCCTCCTAAGCATTGATATTGAAGTGTGTGCCACCATATGCCACACAACAAACTAACTTTTGTTTGTCTTTCGAGATAGGGATTCTCTGTAGCTTTGGAGCCTGTCCTGGCTCCACCACCACCGGTATAAGTTTTTAAAGCATTAGTATAAACTTAGAGATATTTGAAAAATATATTTGAAATGTATAAATAAAAACCAAGTCTGACGTGATAGCACACGCCTTCAATTCTATCACTTGGGAGACAGAAGCTTTCCTTTGCTTCTGGTTATCCTTAAAGCTTCAGTACTAATAGTGCAGTTGTCTTTAAAACAGGCTGTGCCCAAACCTTCACCTCAGCCACTAACAACAAGATAATCTCCCAGAAATCTTTCAACCTAAAACTTTGGTCAAAGTTTTGTTTCCAGGATGCATTTGAAACAAGAACCCAATCTTCCCCATTCAGTAACTTAGCACATAAAAAGATGATAGAGAGCTGGTGGATTTACAGTATTTTCTAGCTCCAGTTACCAAATTCCTGACTAAAAGAAAACAGGGGTCCCTTACAATGAAAGGGAGTTTTTCACTAACTCATTTTTTTCCCTTAAAAATAGCAAGAGCAAAACCAAATCTCACAACTTTGCCTTATAACATGCAGCATCTTAAATTTAAATCCCAGCCCTTGAAAGGCAGTGGCAGTAGGATCAATCAGTCAGTTCAAGGACAGCCTGGTCTATCTAAGTTCCAGCACAACCAGAGCTATGCAAAGAGACCCTATCTCCAAGGGAAGAAGAAGACACAATCAAAAACCAACTATCCATTAAGTTATTTACTATTACAGTATTTACAATACATTTTGAGGAAAAGACAGATTTCCCTCAGCTATGACCACAAAACAGTAAGAGATATAGTTGATCTTACTAATAGATTTTCTGACATTATTTCACCTTACCTTGAGTTGACATTCCATTAAGCTCTTCTCTGAACATGTTTCCTGTCTGAAAGCTAAGAACCAAAGCTACAAACTAGTAATTTCCTCTACTTTACATATAAATCAATAAAATAGATTCAATATTGGACTGAGTTTCTAAGTTCTAATCTGTTTCTACTTGGCTGAAAGGTATACTTATATCAAGAGTTCTATCAATTTTCGACTAAAAGCATCAGTTTTGCTGTCAGACCTCTATATTTTTGCACATAAAAAGGAAGTGGGTTTTGATACTATCTCAATGTTCTTCCTGTCTTATAATGCATTTGAAATAGTGATGTCAAAC